TAGGCAGCTTCTGTGTGTGTCTGAGTGGTCGGCATGTTTATAATAGGAATATTCCCATGCCTATTACCAAGCAAGAGATCATACAATTTATACATCATGGGTATGGAGAATATAATTGTTACACATGTCAAGCCATGGGGACCACAAAGGACATACAGCCTTAAGCAGCAGATGCAGAAGCTGAACCTGATGAGCTCTTGCATAGCTTTTGCTAGATTGCTCCTATTAATGGACTAGATCAATGTCACTTGCAAATAGCAATGAAAATTTAAATTCTTCCTGTTCTACAGCCTATGTTACATAAAAAGCTGTCCAATGTATGAAGGAAAAAAACAGTTGAATGTCTCACTAATGCTGCCTTTCATACAAAACCTACAGATTTAAAATGCTCAGACAAAGACCAAGAAATGCATTCTTGGCACATCCTACAAGCCTATACCCTGCCCTCGATTTTCACTGACATCAATGGGAATTTCTGCACTGAGGACAACACTCAACAACTGAAGGCAATAGATGCTCTCTTATTTATTACCAAGCGAGTGCTCTCCAGGTAAAGCTAGATGGACCATCTTAGCCATCTCAGGCAACAATAAACCTCAGCCTTCAGACATCTGTGTGAACTACAGATCAGGTAAGCAAGCAAATGCTTCTATTCTACCACTGTCCTGAATCTTGGATTCATTCAGCAACCTTTCAGCCACACATTTACTTTGGGCATCAGTCCAGCAATCAACAGGAAATTTGTATAAATCCATTGGCAAGTAAGGATTTACTGAGTATGTAAATGTTTTTCTATCATTAGCAGAACTGTTCATTATCAAGACTGATAATACAGAAATTAAACAGGTAATTAAGAAAATGCTTATGATGATAGAAAATGAATACAAAACTGCAGGTCAGAAATGTTGTTTCCAGGAAATTAAAAAACACATTTATTGTCAAACCGTCAAGATTATAATATTGTTCCTTTATCTCAATGCACGTATTACCCTCTGTAGCCATCTCTGGACATATATGAGCAACAGGAAGTCACCTTCACAAACTAATTTTAACATGATCATCAAACTGATCAGTGTTCATTTACTTTGCTTTGCGTGGTGGTGAGGAGAAGGCTTGTTTCTGTGCAATGCGCTTCTGCCTCACACCAGTACTTCTACTAGACCTTTCTCCATAAGTTGTATGACTGCAAGTAATTTGATAAAGGAACCAAAACCAAACAGGTAAAGTTGACCCAATACACCAATGCAGCTTCCACACAGCCTCTGCACTGTTGGAGGGCCATTTCACAAAGACCCTAGCATGTCAGAAAGAATCTACCATGCTTCTCAGAGGTGTCCCTTCAGAGTTAAACCAGAATTTTGTGTGTGTCATTTAATTGCTAGAGAACACACCAAGATCATAAAAATAGTGTGTAATCTTCCTTTAGTAAGAGGGCTGCGTACCTTGCATGGTTGCTCACTTTGGTCTCTTGGCCCAACACTTATCTCTTGTGTTCCTTTCACATCCCTCATGTCTTGCACCTGCTTCCTGACGTCAAATCAAGGGGATGCCTTGTGTTCTGCTTCTTCTCCTCCTAACACCTTCTGGGCACCCAAGGCAGCCTTCTGGTGAGAGCAGTGCTGTCCATGGGCTCAGCACGCTTCCCAGTGAAGACCCTAGATCTTCCCACACACCCAGCAGTCAGATCCATTATAATCATGTTTCCACCACTCATGGGTTATGCACTGTAAGGAGAAAATCTATTTCATCATGACTCGTCCAAATTCACATGGATTTGTCCTGAACTTGAAGAAAAACACAGTCCAAAGGACAAGCTTTTCTTCAACCCATTTAAATAAAATCCTATCCCAGCTCAATAACTGACTAGAGTTTATCACCTGAACTCTGGTGCCTGAAACATGTCCCAGAAGAGGAAGCAGTCTGGACTCGCTGGCGACTAGTCTATGCAGGCGGCAGCACCCAGAGGATCCTTATCTCCTTCCCCCCCATTCACTAGTGAAAATCAGGAATAACTGAAAAAGCAGTTCCACTAAGAGATGCCTTTGTTGCTTTATTTTTCCTGACAAGAACTGTGCCTGAATTTTCATCTGAAATCATTGCTCAACTGATTTTAACTTTGCTTTTAAAATAATAAACCTTTTAAAATATTAAAGCTGTGCTTTAAAACTAACAGAGGCCAGTACTATAAATGTTGAGGAAAGTCAACAAGGAATGGAATAAAAATATTTGGAAAATCAAAATAGCAGGATTTTTCAAACTGTTGCACCCTGGACTGCTGACACCAGACAAGAAATAGGACCGTAAGAGATCTCAGTGGCCTAAAGGCTTGGGCCAAGATTATCATCATTTTGAATGGGTGGATCCTGCATAGGTAATTTTACATATCTGAGATTTGCCATAGTTTCTGGGCCCCACTTCAGCAAGTTATATAAGCCTGTGTCTGACTATATGTGCATTGAGGAGCCTGACTGCATGCAAGAGGCAGAGTCAGTCTTTCAAGGAGTTAGAAACTCCTGCACTTTGAACAATGCCTGCAACTAATTGCAGAACTAGCACTGAACCCATTAAAATGCCAGCTGACAATAGAAAACTAGAAATGTCTTTCAGAAACCAGGACCTGTGTGATCTAGATTTAGCTAGGCATAAATGTTTGTTGCACTGCTCTTTGAATAGGCATTTACTTTGCAACTAAATATTTGTAGTTAACCAGCCATGCTTAGTTATTTTATTTTAATATTAAGCCCCACAATGCAGGAGAGTAACTCAAGTGAACAGTACCAATCGGATTTAAGGAAAAGTATTATACTGTTATTACAGAGAAGCAATAAGCAGCATATTCTCATAAGTTTTCTGAATACAACGATTGCTCAAAGAAGACTGATTGAACTGTGATTTTCCTGCATCAAGTAATTTTAGATTATTATTTACTTGGGGTTATTTTTAAGTGCTGATACTAAGGGGGTATGAGAGGTAGGAGGGATACTGAAAACAATAACAAAAGAGGTGTGTGAGGGGGATACATACATGTATGCATGCATACACAGGTATGTATACTTTATACACATATGTACATATGCTAAGTATCCATAAGGATTAATCTAAAATACTGGGCAGGGAAGGGATCTGTATACACAACAAGCTGCAGCCATGATATTATTACCTTTGGATTTTGGAACCAAAGTGAACCAAACATGCATTGGTCTAGTTTGTGTGTCCATCTAAAACAAGGTATATCATACGGGTGCCCCAGCAGAGAAGCCAAGGCAAGCCTGGAGAACAGCATTGTTTGTTCATCCAACATATGAATGGAACACAAGCAAAAAAGGTTGTGTGGGAGCACTGATATCCTATTGATTAATCAAGAACTAATATTCCTCATTTTAAAAAGAACACACACAAGCTCCTCTTTGCAAGTAGGGTATTTGTGGATTATTTTGCCATTCCTTGAATTAACAGGAAGCTGCATAATTCTGGAAACAGTGACAAAACAAGGTAACAGCTGTAGCAGCCTGGATTTTGGTACGGTTCCACCTCACTTTTAGGTTCTCTAACTGGCTCATGCAGATAGATCTCAAGCAATAAAAGCCCGGTTCCTGAGGCCCTTCAGCATGGAGGGGGGACTTGTATGCAAAGCACCAAGTATTTGCCATTCACAGTTAATTCGGCCACTGTCTCAGTGATGGGCCCAAACCAAAACACAGGACCCAAGCTGCTCCCAACCAAATCAAAGTGTCTTCATTTTACCCCATTGCTTTTAGCTTGGGAGAAGTACAGCTAGATTAGGAATAGCTGCTTTTCTGTTTAAATGCTATTTAAGGAATTCCTAGCATACTTGAAGTGTGCAAGTGTAAATATAAAAAAAAAAAAAAAAAGAAAAAGGAAAAGGAAAAGAAAAAGAAAAAAAAGAAAAAGAAAAAAGAAAAAGAAAATAAAAGAAATGAAAATTAATGCATTTTTAGGGAAGCAACAGACCTACAGTAATCTGTACTTGGATCTAATATCTAAATACTGCTCCCAGAAAAAAAAAGTCAACGGTCCTCTTAGAAATGGGATTGCGCCCGGAGTAACCTGTGATAGTTCTAAGCTAAATGTAACCTACAGCCATCTTTTGAAGCTTACTAGGCAAATGGAGACCCTTCTCCACTTTCTACAGTACAGTCATTCTGAATAAGAAATAAGTTCATCCAGTGAGTCAGTCATCCCTTGTTCCACTTTGCAAAACCTTGCATAACCCAACTTTTCTTACAGTATTCAGGATCATTGAATGTCTCATTGCCTACATATGAGTTCCCCTGCGGTCCACTGGTCTCAGCACTCTGAAACTGGTGATCATTTATACCACAAAACAAACACCTTCTGCAAATAAGAGACAGACACTGAGCACATAAAGGCCAGAAACTGAAAAATGAATCTGGTGTTCGGTTTAGCAGGCAGAAAATGTTCAAGTCTTCAAAGAGAAAAGGTCTATTTACCAGAATAATCAACCAATTCATATGGAAAATCAGAGGAAAGGGAGGACATACACTTAGTGTTGCAAAATGCTTCACTGTTCGTAGCTGCAGCTCTCTCTGATCAGGCTCTCTGCAGCAAGTTTCTGGGGCCACCAGCTTTCTACTTGTCCATCTCCACCAGCTATGAACAACCACAAGTCTGGCGAGACTTTTCACACAAGACGCAGGGTGGCAACTTAGAAACCATCAGTCAGAAATAAAAACATATTTGGGAGTCCTTACTTAGACAAATACCCCACCAGAGCCACAGCAGCCGTGGACAAGGAACCTCCACAGATAATTTCTTTCACTATCAGCCAGCACTGGGAGATTTGTGTACAAATTTTCCTTATTTCTCACTATGCTTTCTTTTCCTGTCTTTTCTGCCTTTTGGGTCACCTTAGGATATTTTTGTTGACATCAGTGTGAAACTTCAGGTTAATTCATGTTAACAGGACACACACAAGGAGCTGGCACATGGAGCTGGAGCCTGGTGCAAGGATTACTCACCTTCCACTACCACCGTTGCAGGTTTTGAATAAGCTGTGCCCAGGCTGTTCTTGGCTACACATCGATATTGTCCTGCATCTTCTCTTTGAATGTTGTGGATCCTTAAACTCCCCGAATCAAGGACAGCAATGCGAGCATTCTCCTGTTGGAGGCAGGAGCGATCAAGGTAGGACTCTACATGCAGGCTGTACGCAAGCAGCACCAAATATCCGCTGACAGACTGTGCTTACACTCATGAAAATCATTTGTGTTGTCCTACATCTGAAGGATCTGGAGCAAGTTCTTCCTGCTCAGCTGTGTAATGACACACTCACCCATCCTCATTTTGCAGATCACTGAATTACATCTTCCAAAGAGCCTGAATCTTTGCTAAGCGCCTCAGTAGCTCTCATTTAAGAGAATACTCACAAATTTAGCAGCATTTGGCCACGCTTAGTAGTAATAAACACATGTCATATAAAATATAGATTCACAGAGAATGTTTGGTTTATAGGTAGGACTATTGCGGATGCAGACATTTATGAGATGAACCCTGGATTCTCCAAATGCTTGCTTCTCAGCAACGAGAATTTACAAATGCTGTAATCGATGCTAATATTTTAACACAGTACCATTACTGAACAGTTACCATTACTTAAATTTCATTCTGTACTCACCTTTACAGCTGTTTCTCCTTTGATCCATGAAACAGAAGGTTTTGGATTCCCCATTGTAGTACAAGGAAGAACAGCCTTTAACCCTTCTATTATTTCTACATTTACAGGTGGTCGGGTTATTTTGGGTCCTAAAAATTTAAAAGTTAATAAAAAAGAAAAAGTGGAGTCAAACTGAAGCTAAGAGATACAAGAACAAGACAAGACCAGAAATTACAACAAAATCTCTGCTGCTTTTTAATTTGCATTGCTAAAAATAGTAGACTAAGACGCCTTAGCCTGAGCATGAGCTGTCTTGGAAAGAAAAAACTTTCTTAAGCACAGTGTTCAGTGTTTCAGTTTATGGGCACAAATGCAACTAACTTTCATGGTTTTTTGTTTTCACAAATGGAGATTGACAGCCACTTGAATTAGGGCCTGAGCTAAAATTCAAATCCAGATAAGAGTATTCCAATATTGAAGAACATTTGCATTCCAGGTTTTGACATTCTTCACTGCATAAACAGTGTCATGTGTGAAAGTTCAGATCCGGAGTGAATCAGTTTTGAAACAGTTTGAAGCGAGGCTTGTCTCTAGCTTCACAAGAAGGGCATGTAAATGCAACTCATGTCCCTCACTGAAGAGTTTATAGCTGTGCTAGTCAAGAAGAGAAAGCATCCTTAAAGAAAAAACAACCAAGCTCCTTTAAAGTTAATATGGGAAAAAAATAAAATCATTTTAGCCAAACAAAACCATGGCTTAGCTTACTCTGAGCTGGGAGTAAAGAAAATCTTCATCTTAACGTTTTGGGGGGTGGGAAGTTTTCCCTCCCTTGTACAATACCAAACTAGCAGAGAAATTACCTTCAGAAAGCATCAACACCTAGACCCCACCTGCAGGCTACTGGAGTTCTGGAGAGCCCCAGGATTACCAGGCCTGAAGGGTCACTCTCATTAGCACAAACAAATCTTTACCTACAAACCAGACACTTTAGTTGGTAATATCTCAGCTACCCTTTTAAGTGTTTGTATAAATAACTGTGGCCATGTGAGTTCAGCTTCACCAAGTTCAGCATATATATAGTCCTTTGCGAGAACCAGTTCTCTCCCATCCCTGTGGGATGATGAGTTTACACCACGGTGCTCCAGACCTGTCAAGACTGCTATTAAGAACATCTAAACAGCACTTACTTGCTTTTGCTATCTTCAGGCATAAATCTGATTAGTGAAATCTTATGTTTAAAATTCATAAGGGATTTATGCAGTACTGACACAGAGGTTTAATCTATCAAATTGTGCTGCTTTTACAAAGTTCTGTACAAAGGGTGTTCTTCAAAGCACGATTTTATATCCTGTGTTCCTCTGATCCCAGCACAAGTGCATGTTATTCAAACTGAATAATCATAACTGAATAATCAAACTGAATAATCATAACTGCTTCTAGTTAAGATATGAGCAAATATGCCATGTCTCCACCTCAAAGGACTCTACCCAGCCCCAAAGCAACAAGGATCTGCCCTGAGCATGGTCCCACAGGAGCCATACCTGGGAGCTTGCTCAGGCTCTCAATTACATACCCACATGATGACAGAAAGTAATTGCACTCCCACTTACGCATTTTCACTTGGAGAGCTCCACAGCTCTGCGCAGCTGCTCCAACCCCATTATCTGCTGTGCAGCAGTACACTCCATCATCACTGTCCTCCACACTCAAAATGGTCAGAAGCTGCCCGTTCCTCTGTATGCTATACCGGGTGTCAAACAGCCTGCAGGGCACAGAACAAATTGTCAGGGGTAGGGGGAAAGCCAGGGACGGAGAGGGAAAATTGCACTTATGTCTGCAGACCACTGATGGTATTACAAATGGCAATTTGTTTTACTCCTTAATTTCAATCAGAAAAAAAGAATATAAAGCATTGAAAATATCGAGCTAAGCCTTAATATTTGGTTTCGTCCCCACTAGACCATGCAGTTCTTGTCTGCCACGAACATGGTGGCAATTCTTCCTCCAGCCATGTATTGGTAAAGTTAGTAGTTGACTTTCTGCCTGACCAAGGACAGCCATGAGTGCAAGTAATCTAATCCAGTTTGGTTCTGTTTTAGGTATCATGACTCAGTGAAAGAAAAAGACTGCGTATACAGGAACTGGAACTGACTTTAAAAACCTGAGGTTTTTTTTAAAGAAACATTCTTCAGAATAAAAAAAATAATTTTTTTTTTTATTAAACAGATAATGTTATGGACACATTTCTAACATTGTGGAAAAAAAAAAAAAAAGAAGACTCAAATCAACAAAAAAAACAACAAGTAGATTCATGCCTGCATCCAGAAGTGGTTTGATCTGTAGGGTGGTGTTTTTTTAATAAAAAAAGGCAAAGCAATGTGCTGAAAAAAAGAAGTCATCCAAAGATGAGGGGATGCAAGGATAGCTGTAGTTCAGTGACAGCAGGCTTTGACTTGGGAAGTCAAGAAAAGCCCTGAAATTGGTGCAACAAAAGTTGGGGATATTGTAAAAAAGTCAGCAGAGCAAAAATCAATTCTATATATGAACATGGGGGTTGTGTGTGTATGCATGTGTGTGAAAGCCAGGGAAAGAGAGAAAGCAGAGGGCTAATCTCTGATTTTCATTGTAAAACTGGAAGAGTATAATAAAGCTTCAGTGTAACAAGATTTGCATAACATTTCATAAGTTCCTCCATGTTTGATTTCTACACTTCTGTTGATGCTTTTTGTAAGCACTTTCATAAAATTGTCCTTCAGCTCTGGCAAATGGCAGCAAAAAGGATCTGATTTGAGGATTTTCTACCAAGCTGTCACAAATGCCTGACATGTCAATATGCCCTATTTGTCTTTTACCTTTAATAATGCACAGCAGTCACCGAGTAATATGGATGTGCCATCTATCGTGTTACAGGCACACATTTCCTTTCAACAGCCTTTCTCCTTTCAGCCTATATCTCCCTCCTCTTTTTTACCCTAGGCAGAAAGAGTACTCAGTTAACTCATCCATCATGTAAAAGAAGTGTGGGCTCCATTCCCTTCTTTCCCCGAGGAAGGCTCACTGTGTTCTGGGAGATGGCCCACGTAACCGTTTCACTTAGCACAGGCCACCTGCCAGTCCTGCACACGTTTTCACAGCTAAGGAAAGGTGCTTCCAGAATCCTAGTGTCGACAAGAGCCTCTATCCTGGCACTATTCCCATTGAAGCTGCATGGTTACATACTGGTTTGTTTTGAAGGTTAGCTTAGCTGTCTGTTCAGAGTGCTGGGACCTTCTCTTGGCAAGAGAAGAAAATTTTGTGACTAAAATAACGGATATTTATTGCTTGCAATAACCATCCCCTTTGATGTTTGACACATACACACAGATGCACATAAACATACAGTTTTTTCATGGGAAAAAAAATAAAAAATCCACTGATCAGACCCTTTTTCATCATGAAAATATTTTCATACATGTTCTTGGAAAGCAACAGATATTTTCAGCTTATCTGTTTCTCTGTCTTTAGTCTGAGCTTTTGTATCAGCAGCACTATTAATGCCAACACAGCTTTGACAAAGTGAAAGATGCTGTTAATATTGCTTCAGAAGTCCCAGTAAGGGAACAAAGCACCTGCGTTCTCTGGCCTGGCCAGCAGAACCATTTTGGTCAGTATTTCCCTTTTTAGTAAATATGTGAAAAAGGCACTGTCTCAGAGAGAGCAGGATGGCTTCTACGAAGATAAGTTGGGCTTCTGGATGTGGGGATGGGTGTTAGAAAGTATTTGTTTTTCATATGATCTTAGAATAGAGAGTGAAATTTTGAAGACCATGCATGGAGAGAGAAAAGCATGTAATGTCCATGGTCCTGCATGAATGACTTCTCTCCCACCTTTGATTTTCAGGCATGGTACCAGTGACTGGGAAGGACTTAGGAGAAAGGTGACCTGATTTGTGAATAACATCCATGGAAATTCAGACCCCCAATCTCCAACAAGGCTGGGATCAGAGGGTTAGGGCCAGGGTTTTGCTGAGTTTCTGTTGAAGGGAATGAAAAACAGACTTCTGAATGCAGAATCCTTCTGCTGATGCTAACTTGCTTGGAGTCTCCTGAGGCAATGGTTCAAGGGCTGTTTGGATGCCTGACTGCAATAGCAGGAACCGTGCTGCAGGTGACCATCTGCTTTACGTGGGAATCTTTTGTGGAGAATGGGCCTTAACTGTGTTACATGGCTATTGTTCCATAATTTTCCCTTACAGATGGAGTCACTGACAGCAATCTAGAATAAGAAACTGATGTGAAACCATGTAGAAGGCATGATGTAATTTCAGAGTTGGAAGATAAAGTACAGTTTACTTTGCAATAGCCTGTATACAGCAACAAGGCTAAGACATTGGTAGCACTTCCATAACACATTTCCAAGGCTTTGTTCTTCAGCAATACTTTGATGACTGATGGTTAATATCTGACAGTGTCTAGTAGCAATAAGAAGCCAGTTTCCTATGATCCAGAACTAGAAGCAAACCAGAATACAATGATACACCCCCCCTTCCAATGCAGCCTTTCCAAGCACATTGCTGATACTCAGGCAACAAGTCTGGCAATGCTCCTTTTAAATACTATACAGCACCCTTCTCCTTCATAAATGCATAAACTGAGGAACAGAGCAGATTTCATTGTCTGAAGCTGAAGAGCAAACTCATTTCTTGACGCAGAAATCAACTGTCTCCAATCTCAAGTGTGTGAAGCTGCAAGAGCACCCCCTAGGTGCTGCTGTCACTCCCTAAGGAGCACAGATGCCTGTATAATTACAGCCACTCGCCATTTTCCCCACCACAGGCTCATTCTGAAGTTTCCAGATATCTCCTTTATCATGAAGAAAAACAGACTGTTTTGGCAGGAGATTCTAGAGGGATTTAGGGCTGTTCCCTACCTGATGGGAATGCCGTTGCGTGTCCACGTAATTTCTGGCTCAGGATATGACTCCACTACACAGACAAACTTAGTGACTTCCTCTACCAGAGCATCCACAGTTTCCAGAGGAGTGCTGATCAATGGAGCTGTGTGAACAAAGAGAAAATGAGAAAACTTCCCAGTGCCTCCCAGAGAGAGGCACGAGACCTGCCAGAACTCTTTGGTGGAGGCACCCATGTCCTCGCAGGGTCATTCGATGGCTTTTTCCACACCACAGAGGTGCTTCACACATCCTCTACATATTTGCTGTAAAACAGGTCCCTCCACATTTGTGGCTGCAGCCTTCTGTTGTTTGCTGCAGGTTTTGCATTTACCCTTTGCTCTCTCTACAGGGTGCAAAACAGAGCATGGGGCAGCTCCAACAAGCCCAGCGTGTCCTTGGTTTCTAACCCCCCTCTCCCCTAAGATGCACAACACTGGATAGCGTACCTAGAGGACACAGGTGAGGTTGTCCCCCTGCTCCAGGGGTGGCACTGCATGGGCTGAAAGTGCAAGGAACAGCACACAAATAAAAGCCAAGCTGACCTGTCCCTGCAGTTGGCACACTGCATCATTACTGACTCGTAACGTATGAGATCTGGGTTTTGCCACTAATATGGTATTTGCTCCAAACAACTCAAATTTCTCTAAAAAAAACCACAAGCAAACAAAAAAAAAAACCTCACAAAAACCAATCAAACAAATCAAACATGTTATATAGCACTATATTTTTCAAAGCCAGGCTTGTAAAAAGCCACGTCTTCTTGATTTGTGGCACAGGTAGCAAACATTCTCTTTTTCTTACATTTTCTAACCAAGTAGCACTAGGTTTAGAAGTCTAGTAGCTGTGTCTGATGCTCATTATCACAGACCTGCTGTTATGCATTATTTGAAACATTTTCCATTGCCTTAGTAGAAGTCTTGAAGCACTGCTGGAAGGGATCAAAGGCTATGCCTAGTGAATCACTCTCCCTGCCTATGGTATGCATTGCAGCCATTGCCTCCAAAGACACTTGAATGACTTTTAATCTGTGGTTGCAAGGGACATACATCCAGTATTTGTTGGACTGGATTTCATCGACAGCTGTGCTGAGATGAACTAGTTTCATACCATGTTCCTGACACACCACCTTGAGCATGTACAGCAGATGCAGGAATCTTCCTGTTCCTCTCTGACTGTAGCAGTATCTGGCATGCTGCGTGTCTTTTCACAGCAAAATCCTGCCTGAAATGTATCTGCTGGCCCTCCACAGTAAAGTAAGATTTAAAACTAGGCAAAAAATAAATTACATCAATCTTACCCCTCCCTCCCCCCCCAAAAAAAAGCAAGATGTTCCAATTTAAGTGACTGAGAATGATAGAAAGTCTTTACCTTAATGCTTTTTCAATTTACATAGGAGTAAAAATTACAATGTCATTGAGCTGGAATGCAGCTAGAGGAAGAAAGGATCATCTTCCACTATCAGGTTTATGTAAAAGGCCTAACGCTTTTGAAATTTCTTTAGAACGAATCTGCTTCAATAATATTTCTAGATGATATGCTTCAGATTGCATAACTAGTAATGGCTACACATATATAAAACGATCTTAAAACTACAGCTAAGGTTACACTAAAGATTATATTAACTTAACATTACTTAAAACACATCTGTGTCAGATTCATCATTTAAGATCACTGCCTCAGACTCTATCACCCTTCAATTTATTGGGTCATTTTGGGTAACATCAGATAGAAGTCATTATCCATATTACACCCGAAGTGAAACCCATGCTAATGGAAGCAAGTAGCAGATTTTCATAAAGCCTAAATTTCCATGCTGCTGAAGGTTGTCTTAGGAGAATAACCTCCACTGATGGCTATCTTGTCTGCTTCAAAGAGGACATTGCTGTTTCGTAACAGAGTTTATAGGGTTTTGAGGGCGTTAAGCCAGGAGTTTTACAATCTAATTTTATATGGTAAACTTTATTGCAGTTTTCCACATGCCTTGATCTTTGGAAGGATGCTTTTTTAACCCTGAGAAATGTGAATTTTTACAGTCACCAAAATTCCAAGCAACCAGTTTTACAACTGTGTTGTCACGATAAGCGTAGAACAAAGAATAAAGTTTAGATTTGTACCAACATCTGGTATGCAGAATGACATTATTTTTGGGGCAGACAAGGGCTCTTAGTTTTATATATAAAATAAATTCTTTAACAACAGTTAAGTACTTTTATGATAGCTATCTCTTTAATTCAGTGGATGACAGAATTGTCCTTAGCAGTAGTGCCTACACCGGGTCTGACCTGGCACACAGTTCTTACAGCAGAATCAAACCCCATACTAACAGAAAATACTGTCTGAACCAACAGCACTTTACTTACGGTAAAAAATAGAAAGAGAACTTTTTTTAAAGCTGCCTTTCCAAATTCCACATCAGAGAATCACACAGAATGGTGAGGGCTGAAAAGGAGCCCTGGAGGTCATCTAGTCCAACCCCTCTGCCAAGGCAGGGACACCTAGAGCAGGTTACACAGGAACGTATGCTCTGTTTTGCCTTCCTGATATTACACAGGAGTGCTGGGCCAGCAGGGAGGTGAAGGCAGGCTCCTGCTGCCAGTGTGAGGACAGACGACACAAGGCCAGAGGACACATGGTGTGTCTGCAGGGGACAGTGAGCAGGGGAGCGTGACGCCATTTTGTCATGAGGCGATGAGAGAGCCCCAAAATGGCTGTGGTGGTGCTTGCTTCTAAAAACCATCCAAGAAAGCTCAGGTGTTGGTGTCAGTCTGTGTTTACTCAGGAAAGCAGTGAAAACTTATGGTGCCTTCATTGCCAGATTTTAACGTGGGAAAATAAAAGCCAAACAATGCACAGTCATATCTCTCAGCATATAGAAATGGCCCCAGGCAGCTCCGTACACATCCACTGGCAGTCTCTGAAACATTTTAGGTAGTTCTGTGGCTTTAAGTAACATTGAAAATCAATTAGCTTATGTATCTGTAAAGCCACACAGGTGCCATTTTTCTGGATGTCAGCTGTAGTTTCCCAAGATAGCAAAATGACCCAAGCTGGTCACCGGGCCTACCAGAAATGCCCCTTCTACTCCCAGCCCACCAGAATCTTCCAAATTGGTTGGGTCTACACTTTTGAAACAAGACAAGGTGAGCAAGCAAAGCAAAGAGGAAAACAGAGAGTCTCCCCTGCACTGCTGCAGGCACCAGGAGATGTTGCTGTTCCTCTGGTCAAAAACTGCTAACAGTGTTTCCAGCTAATGCCTCAGAACCCTTACAGAGCACTGCTGGGTTGCAGCCACGTTTCAGCCTCTCTCAGATAACAAGCCAATTTGGCTACCCGCGATGCTTCAGGAAAGGATGCCTATCTCTTCATTGCACTGTTCCAGCAGAAAAAATCAGTCCCTTTCCTCTTTTTCTTGTCTCTCCCATCCCATTTTACCACTGATTTCAAAAAGACCAAGGTTCACCAACTTATTTTAGTGCTTTAGAAAAAAAAAAAGAAAAATATATATATATATATATTTCAAATGCTTTTATAAAGGAGACTTCTTTTTTTTTTCTTTTTTTACGTTTTGAGGCCAACCTGACTAACCTTACTAACAATTGTAAGAGCACAGGCCTGCAGGAGCCGCCCTGTTGGCCTAACATGTCCTTGAAGGTCTTTCTTTGTTTTGCTGAAGCTACAAAGTTTCCAGTATGCTTCAAATGGCTCCTGACAACCGCCATGCAGCAAAGCCATTTGTCCACAGGGGTACCAGACACTATGTCCAGCAGAACACTGTTGCGCTTTGTACCTCAAAGACTTTTGTAAGCAAACTTTCTCAGTTCTTGAGTTGGCTAAAAGTATGTGCACGTGTCTGTGTATGTAAGCACAAGAGAGGAAGAAGGAATCATAACTTTTATGGTGTATGCAGTACAAACCTGCATATTTGTATTTATATATATACACTCTGTAAAAACATTATAGCTATTTACTTCTCCTTTGAGCTTTATATATTTATAAGCATACACAGGCATTCAGAATGCCACAAATCTTAGGTTCTGCAGCAATGGGTGCTACCAGCCATTAAAACCTGTAAGCTTCATCTGACATAAGAAATGTCCATCACACCCATGCTGAACCCAAAGGCCTCCCCTTCCCATTCTAACACAACTATGTGCTCTTCCTAGAAAAGAACCTCTCATCCCAGACACAAGTACAAGATCATTTTCACTGCTATCCTTCTAAAAGCAGTGAAATGACCAGCAAAAGCAGCACATTTCTGTCCTTTTCAGGCACGCTCCTGTGCCACCCAGCCAACCGTTACCAGAGATGCCTTCCCCTTTTCAAAACCTCCTTCAGCAAGTGGCAGAAGCAGAGCAGGGCAAAACCCCTCCAAGCAAACCTTTCAGGAGTGTTTCGGCCAAGCTGAGGGCTGCCAGCGTGAGGACGTGCACCAGGGGCACCTTCAGCAGGTCATTCATGTTTGATCCAGAAGGAACCTGGCTCCTTCAAGCAAGGTGTTCAGCATTCCCGGATGGCTGCATTTCAGACTGCGGTGCACAAGCAGAGCTTCTCTGCTAATGACAGAGCAGGGTCTGTGGGATCTAAGTATAATCAGGAATTCTCCCACCCGGCAGTGGTGACAGACATGGCCAGCTGCTGCGTATCCACTTCGGTCAGTGTGAAAGAGTGGGGCTTGTGAAACAAGAGAAAGCAAATCCCTTCTGAATTCCTTCTAAGCAAACAGAGAGGAGTACAATAGGCAAATGCATTTCCAGGGAAGTACCCTACACTAGCACTGCAAAGTCACCAGGCCTTTATGTCAGCACTGTGTAAGTGCACTTGTGGAAAAAAATGCTTGCCACTGGATTTCCCTTCATCTTGGTCCTCCTCTTTCTTATTTTTTATCCTCTCTCTCACATGTACTCCCTCTGTCTTATTATAACCTTTCATGATTGGCTGCAATATGCCACCTGTTGCCCTGCTGATAGCATTTCTTTTCTTAACAGATGTATTTGCTGGAGCACAAGATGTTGATATTGAGGGCTGAAAATGCCCTTCTTTGCTAAAGTGGTTGGTGGTGTTCAAGGGCCATCACAAAACACTGAAAAAGCAGAGCCTTGCCCTGGAGACAGACACAAAAAAATGAAAATCCACAGTGGGACCAACATTTACACCCTGGGAGAAAATGAGCATTTCATTTCAAAGGAGCATTTCAAAAGGTCATAGCTCTCTGTTTCCTACATCATTACTGCTTGCTGTGATGTCAGGAACAGCATTAATTCATTCAGTGATGTAGCATTAATGAGGATGGGGTTGAATGGAGCCACATGTAACACCTCTCATAGCTAAAGAAGACCTGGAACCAAATCCTTCAAAAGAGAGGCAAAAAAAAAAATAATTTGGGTGTCATGGTTTAGCGGAGGTGTCCCTGCCCGTGGCAGGGGAGTTGGAACTAGATGATTTTAAAGCCCTCTCCAACCCTAAATATTCAATGATTCTGTGATTTCAACATCAGCAGCAGCCTAGGGGATTTGGGCCCAGGTAGAGGCATTGCTGTACGGGGAAATATGACTTTTAGGTACTACATTATTAATTCCTCAAAAATAGCTCATTAGCCAGCAGGTCTCTGCCTAAAGTGAAATACTGAGAATCTGAGCTTGTTTTCTAGGAAGCTTTAGAGAGATGTCAGACTTTAGGCAATCTCCTTACTAAATCCATCTTGTCCTAGCAGAGCACAGTGGTCTACCTGACATTATCCTTTTCAAAAATGTCAAGTCATTTGTACTCCCTGTTTTTTCAGTGTAGATATTTGTATGAAGAATATTTGCAATCCATCTTACTGCTGCGGAGAGGCTGATGTGGGAGAAACATCTGCGTGAGTACAAGAGTAAAAGATGACTGATCAGGCTGAGGAGAATCTAATTTCTGATGATGTCCTGGGAACATGACTCCAGTTACTTTACATCATGTTATCAGTAGAGCAGATGTGAGCTTTGTACCAAAAGACATAGGTTGAGGAAAAGGAATATGCAGTCATAACATATTACAGTAAAAGATACTTTGAGATCTCTGGAATTTCTTTCATTTGCTGAACCTCTCAGTTTCAACCACTTTTTTACAGTTAGTTCTGCAATGAATATACATAGTTCAGCAATGCTTCCTCTAAGGAGCAAATGGATTAAAGCTGGCCAGAGCTATGCATGTGTGAATCCCAGTGGTTTGGCATGCTGTGTTAATGCCAATGTTACTTTGAGGACATGCAACAACTCATTAGGAGCAAAGATCCTCAGACAAGTGCTCCTCTGAAGATGAATAAAGACAGAAGCACTTGCCGAATGTGTGTTAAAGATCTGCCAGGAATTCTGGGTCTAGCAAAAACAACAAAGCAAAAAAATACAACAATAAACCAACAGTAATCCTAGGAGGAAACAGAGAAATCCTGACTTATGGAGGAACTTATAAATAGATCTTTGGTTTGATCAGACCAATCTCATCCAATTAATCTGCTCCATAGAAATGCAACTTGGTCCTTTAGAGTAAGGTTGTCTCAATGGAAAGACTTTACCAAAGACTTCTACATCACTAGATTTCTGTCGGGGCTGTGCTAAGAGGACTTTGAAACTGATCCAGACAAGCACAAAACTTAATCTTTCTCTTTTACTTGCCAGTTACAGCATTTTGAAATGATACTGACAGTGATACCTGTTGAATGTTAATAATACCTTTGCATTTTTAAGATTACCAAAGTATCCCTAGCCTCTCAGTTCCTCTGTTTTATTAAGGACTACAGTGAGCTCCACTGCTCTAAACTAAAAGGATGCAAATTTACATTTTAAGTGGAAGCAGAGAGCATACACAGGCACAAGGTGGAGTTATTTTGTTCTCCAGCTACACATGCCATACAGCTAAAAACAATATATACAGGAAGCTGTTTGATCCTCTGTGTCCATGATGGAGACATGTTTCTGCATAGAGTGAAATCAGTGAAATCAAATACCAGTGACACCAAATTTTCTTTGATTCCAAGCATTATTCTGGCTTACCTTATGAAAGCAATATTTATTTTATTTTATATACTCCTTTAATTTTCACTCCCAGTATTTATGAGTTTTCTGTTTGTTGATTTATAGCTAATTATTGTTTACAGCTTTTGTTATTTGCTGTCATGACCCAAGCACTCTGCTGAGATGAGGTCCCAGCAGCCTACACAAGTAACAAGAAGCAGTCCAGATCTTTCAGGCACTGTAGGCAGTTCATGAACTTCAGTGGACGAAGTCAGTTCATGAAGTTCAGTGCACAAAGACAAAGTGTGCTGTACCATTCCTTCATCTGGCTAAATTTTTTCCCTTTGCAAACTGTTTACAGAGTTAATACATACAGTATTTTTCAATAAAAGCATAACTACAAAGAAAGTCCAATTTCTAATAGTTTGCTGAATAGTTCAGGTAACCGTCTTCCAGTTGATTAATTGTCTGTACATCTCTTCTCTACCTCCTTCTCCCAAATGCTCTGCTGGAGGCTGACAGTTTTACAGGCTAATGCAACATGATTTGATCAATGGATACTTCGAAAATTGCATTTTTCCCCATATCAGCATCTGAGATGTCTTCTCCCTAGATAGTACCAGATGTTCATCCAAGTGGACAGCCTAAAGCAGGTATTTCCGGCAGAAAGTGTCCAGCTACAGAACAAACTCCTTCTACAGAGGCACCCAGTGAAGTTGCTTTCACAATGGCCCAGTCATGCAGGTGGTTCACACAGGAATATCCAAGTCAGCACTAACCCAGCCTGACCAGTGTGCATTTTAATGCAGTGTCATCATTGTCGGTGCTGGCAGCCTACCTGAGTAAACACATCAGCCACTGGTCTTCAGCTATGGTGCTGCCAGCCCTGCAGTCACACTTCTGAATGCAACATAGATATAGCCTTTGAAGCCTAAGATCATATCTGAGGCCTTACACAACAGGCCAGGCTATTTTTATTTGCTTTTCAGCAGCAACAAGAATCTGCAAAAATGACTAGGTCACTACTATTGAGCTCAATTTGTATATGTACAATCAAGCCAGAAGAGCAAGCCCTAACCTGGCAAGGTAACAGAGAAGTACAGACCAAAACACAAGTGATCTTCAGACTCCAAGCTCCCACGTCATGGCTTCAAGCTTCTTCCAGCCAGCACGGAGTACAGAAGGACATATATTGTATCATCTTTCCCTGAGATTTATGCATACACATCTGTGCATGTACTACCCTGTGCCGGGTGCTCCATTGTCGCTTGCCTCATCACAGCTTTTGCACTCTCAGATACAGACATCTTCACAAAACATTTGACAGTGAAACCCACCTGATGATCTGGTCCTGCACAGAAGTGAATCAAGGTCACATAGCCACAGGGTTATGGGCTCACCAGTCCTCCCAGGTCCACCCTGCCCACATTGTCAGCTGTATCTAAATGCAGCACACACACGGTCCTGGGTGTATGGCAGGGAAAGGTCATCTCTGACAATGCATGTCAACATTTGGGCAGGAGGTAAATAGTGGTTTAGCTCTGTTGTTTCACATTACAACTTGCTCCTTTACAGTGATCCTGAGTGGAAGCAGCTTCCAGCCACCAGCTCCAAGGGATTTAACCTAACCTGCTATGCATATATGACTAGTAAGTTACTGTTCCTTGTTTCAGTAATAGCAAATGATGTATTCAGTGTAACCAGTGAGGGAATAAGCTATGCTGCTGTGACTCTTTACTCTGCACTTGTAGGTTGTGGATTTGGTGGTTTTGTTTTTTTTTTTTTTTTTTGGTTTTTTTTTTTTTTTTTTGTTTGGGGTGTGATTTTTTTTAATTGTCAAAATTAATTAAGGCTATTCTCTAAATACAGACCCATACCAAAGACCCACTTACTGTCTTTAAGTTGCAGGGTTTCAGGTGCATTTGGCTTGGCCTCTGCCCTCAGCTGTCTGGACCAAACTCTCACCTTCTACTGATATTTCAACACTGACTGAGCTCTGATGCCTGAATCTAAAATAGTCCCCTTACCTTCATTTGTGGGTATTGACAAACCTAAGGTTTGCATTAATTTCTTGATATCTTATTGTTATAAACTTTCCTGTAGTTTTTGATCTGAGAGGATCCCACAGGTGCTGAGGGAGCTGGCGGAGGTCATTGCTAGGCCACTCTCCATCATCTTTGGTAAGTCGTGGGAAACGGGAGAGGTGCCTGAGGATTGGAGGATGGCAAATGTCACACCAGTCTATAAGAAGGGCAAGAAGGAGGACCCGGGTAATTATAGACCGGTCAGCCTTACCTCCGTCCCTGGAAAGGTGATGGAACAACTTATTCTTGACTCCATTTCTAGGCATATCGAGGATGAGGGGGTTATTAAGAACAGCCAACATGGTTTTATGAGGGGGAAGTCATGTTTGACCAACCTTATAGCCTTCTATGAGGAAGTGACTAGGTGGAGGGATGATGGTAGAGCGGTAGATGTGGGTTTTC